TCTGTTTAGGTTAAACTTTGGATGGTTTTAGGAGCTAAAACAACGGGCAAAATATGTGAAAAGCACAATACATGCTTATACTCTTATTCGTAGGAATATTTCACTTCGTCTGCCCACATTCCATTTGCCTTGGATTTGTCTTGATGTTCGACTACGAGAGTCCGTCCCACCCGTTTTTGATCCTCGCTCAGCGATTAAGCCGGACCGATGGGAAGCGTGTCGTCATAATCGACAACGCCTGCAACATCCAAAACTACTGCATGCAACGAGAGCCCTGGATCTTTCGAAACATTTGGTTCCTCGTGGATCGACTGGACTATGCAAACCACATCAACTGCTCCAGGTATTGATCACATTCCTCACAGACTATTCTAAACCTAGTGAAGCGGGTACTTCATAGACAATTTCCCTTCCTACGCTAAAATATCTACCGTCTTGGCTGAAGTGTACAATTCATAACTCGCGTCAGTTGTCGTAAGCTGCGGGTACATGAGGAGAGACAACTTCATGCTGTTCATTCAACACTACATGGCAACGTTAAATCACCGTCGAGTCAACACGATTCAAGTGGAATGTCAAGTTCGAAGCAGCTTTAAGTCAGCCCAATGGCAAGAACTCAACGCGATGCTGTCGGAGATGCAAGGCGCCATTCAACCACCCGCGACACAGCGACCGTGACAGCCACAACACCGTTGCAAGTTGTGTACACTCTTCAATTAATACGCATTACAGACCAAATTCAATGCACACCATCAGTTAGGATGTGCTGCCCCGGCTGGGGCATGGAGGATTTTTAGGATAGGTGTGGAGTGTAGTGGGGATAATCGGAAGTGTCTATTCTCATCTTTACTCCTACTACTACTTCAACTGCTATTTATACCGTCTATTCTCGCCATCTTTGTCCGACATCTTAACTACTCCCCCCTCCATACTGAGGCTGCCCCCAGCCTCCCATTTTTCTACCTTGAGGACAAAACCGGGTTCCCCCGGAAAACCTCCTCTGGGAAAGCTTTCAACGCTCCAAAACCCAGGCTACAGTTCACGATATGGCACCACATACTCGCTGCTTGGTTTCGATTGCTCCCATTCCCATTGCTTGAGTGAGATGAACTGCCATCCTTGTCGTCCTTCCACTTCTACCATCGGGATCATTTTTCCATTGCGGCCCCGGATCAACTTCCGCTGTCGAATGCCCATCTCGTCTGCTTGGTGCTCGCTGTTCTCAACCTCTTTGTGTCGATTCGCCGCTGCCTGCTGTCGCATACTTCGTCTTACTCTAGTTGTTTCCACCGGCTCTAGTTCTGTCCCCACGACCGGGCGAAGCTCCACCACCTCTTCCGTCTCCGGCCAGGGGTCGTCATCCGTCGTCGCGTCCACTTCGATATCTTGCACCATCGTCGAGAGTATTTGGTCGTCCGAGAAATACGGGACACATGAGGACGAATGGACGATGCGTGGCTGTCCGTTCCATGCACACATGACTTTCCAGTTGTCAAACCCTGCATCGGCTTCCAGACGGGCTGGGCCTCGCCACCGGTGTCTCAGCTTGGACAAACCCTTGCCTTTGGCTGGATACCAGATCCACACGTACAATCCCTTCCGCAAGCGAAACTTGTATTTGACTTTCTTGTTGAACTGGACAGCCATAGCGCGTTGCGATTTCTCCAACGCTGCCTTCGCGTGCTCCCGTATCTGCTTAGTAGCTTTCAGACATCGCTTCACCCACGGAGTGATATCCTCGCTCGCCTCGTTCCCCGGAAAATTCAGATCGCTGGGCATCCGTCCTTCCCGTCCCATCATCACATGGTGCGGCGCAAATCCAGTCGACGCGCTTACCCCGCTGTTGTAGGCGTCGGTCAGAATCGGCAGCCACATGTCCCAGTCCGTTGTTGATTCGTTTGCAAACAAACTCAGCATGTCCTTCACCGTCTTGTTGAACCTTTCTACCAGTCCCATGAGCGCCGGGCGGTAGGCTACTGGATGCAGCTGCTTGATTTGACACAACTGCGTGAACTGTACCATGACGGCTCCCATGAATTCACTGGCTCGATCCGACATCAATTCCCGACAGGGGCCAAACACACAGACAACGTGGTTCCAGAGCGCCTGCGCGACAGATTCAGCGCTCTTGTTTGACATGACTACCGTGACTGCATATCGCGTGACATACTCGGTGAACACCGCCACGTATACACCCCCACCGGCTGTTGTGGGGTAGGGTCCTTGCAAATCCAAGGCCCACCGATCACATACTTCTCCTACTGTCACTGGCCGAAGGGGCGGGACAATATCCGCAGTGCGCATTTTTCGCGTGCCGCAGTCTCGACAACTTCGGCACCACTGGGTCACGACTTTCCCCATTTCCGGCCACCAGAACTTTCGCTGCAGCCGCGCCAATGTATGCTGCGTGCCGGCGTGGCCCCCCCAAACGGACCCATGGGCTTCGTTGAGTGCCCGGATCCACAGTTCCGGCGGCAGCACCATCTTCCATCCCTTGCTAGTTTCGATCTCCCAAATCCCGCGACATTGCCTCCACGACCGAACAGCCGTTTCGGCTTTTTCTCGCCATTGCTTGAACTTGTCACTGTGCACTTGGGCCACTTAAATCCGGGTAGCGGTCAACTGCGGCTGATCCTCGGCCACAGGAGGTCGCCGCCACTGCGGGGTGACTTCCTTTGGTTGCTCCGGGGGTTGCTCTGCGCCCGCCTGTTCCACAGGTACCACCGACGACGACCGCTTCTCTGTGGCCGCCTTCTCTCCCCGCTCTTCCAATTGTCGCAGCATCTGCCCCCACACAGCGGTAACGCTCTCTGGCGTTACTGTTGGCCGGCCACGGTCTTGACCCACCTCCGTCACTGCGGAGTGTCTATGGCTTCTCTGCCCTTCGGACGAGTTCTCTCGTCGCGGGACGGTCTCTCCCAAATTCAACTCTTCGCACACCGCCCGCCACCCTTCTTCCATGGCGTCGCTCCCTATCTTTCTTCTCGTTCTGGCCGTTCGCACTTGTGCGACACTCTGCTTAGCCGGTGCGCCATTGCTGGGATCCTGCCGTACGGGTCCCATTGCCATCAACTGCGAAATCCACTTCGGGGTGGTCGATGTAGTCTCGACTGCCGGCGCGGACTCCACTGGCGCACGCGACAAAGCATCGGCCACTACGTTCTCCCGCCCAGGCACGTACCCGAAGGTTAGATCGTAGTCACCTAGGGCCAACGCCCATCGGTGTAGACGTCCCGCGGGTTCCGGTGTGGTCATGAGCCACCGTAACGCCGCATGATCCGACAAAAGTTCGACCGTGCGACCGTACACAAAGGGGCGAAAGCTCTTCAATGCCCATACGGCTGCCAGACATTCCAACTCCGTGGCTGAGTACTTCCTTTGTGCTTCGTTGTTACACCGACTGATGAATGCAATCGGATGTAGCCCATCGCCTTCCCTTTGCATCAACACTGCGCCAATACCCAGCAGACTGGCGTCACTGGCGATGGAGAACGGCTTGGCGAAATCCGGGTACCGCAGGACCGGGGCGTGGGTCAACGCCTGCTTAATATCCTCGAAGGCTGCTTTCTGCTCGACCCCCATGCAAAGGCCTCTCCTTTCCTTGTCAATCGCGTCATGGGTGCGGCTCGTCGCGCGAAATCGGGCACGAACTTGCGGTAATAGCCCGCCATATGCGTGAACGATTTGACGTCGCGGGGGGACTGGGGTGTTGGAAATTTCCGGATCCCGTCCAGCATCCGCGTCAAGGGTTGTACTCCCTGTGAGGTCAGTGTATGCCCCAGGTATTCAATCTCCGTGGTGGCGAACTGGCATTTCTTGAGTTTCAGCGACAGCCCCGCACGTTCGAGCCGGCGTAGGATCAAGGCCAGGTGTAGTAGATGATGTTCGAACGTACCCCCCGAGTAGACGATAATGTCGTCCAGATAGACCAGACACACCTGCCAGGTCAGACCACGCAATACCCCATCCATCATACGCTGGAAGGTGCTGGGCGCGTTTGTCAACCCAAATGGCATTCTCACAAAACGGTACAATCCATAGCGGGAGGTGAACGCCGCTTTGTCCCGATCTCGCGGCTCGATCGGAATCTGCCAATACCCCGCGGCGAGATCCAAGGTCGAAAACCATACGGCTCCGCCCAGTTGATCTAACGTCTCGTCGATCCTGGGGATCGGGTACACGTCCTTGGCTGTCAAGTGGTTCAGCCGCCGAAAATCGACACAAAACCGCACCTTCCCGTCACGTTTCTTGACCAGTACTATGGGGAAACCCCATGGTCCATTGCCAGGTTCGATAACCCCCATCTTTAACATGGTTTGAATCTCCTCTTTGACCAATGCGTCCTGGCTAGGGGACCATCGATTCCGGGATTCCTTGATGGGACGCGCATTCCCCGTGTCGATGGAGTGGCTAACGTCTAGTGTCGTCGCCGGTAGCACGTCTGGATGGCTCGGCACCACCTTGGGGAACGAGCGTAGCACCCGTAGGAGTAGCTGCTGATGGTCCCCGCTTTAAATGGCCCAAGGCCAGGTTCTCCTCGCCTGGCAACTGGGCACACGGCGTCTCCGCGATTTGGGCCAGCCATGCGATTAGGTCTTCCCTCGTCGTGTCCTCCGGTTGGTCCAGCACTTGTAACTCGTCACTCAGTGGGGTCCAACTGCCCACTTCCTCTTGCGCTAAGAGGTGCCCCTTATCTTCAGTACCGTTCAGCACAGGGACGAGAATATTGCCATTCGCTACGGTGGCTACCGTGGCCGCCAGGAGACACCGGTTCTTCCGATTCGTCCGGTCGGGGACGAACTGTACCTCCGTGCCATCGGGTGCATCAATGGCGACTTGCATCCGGCTCCCGCTCATGGCACTAATGCCGTGGGTCTGCACCACGGTCGCCCGCCTCGCGTGCACTTGCTTCGTAGCTGCAGCGTGGAGTCCAAACGGCACTTCTAGTCCCCATTTCGGGAAGTTCAGCGTTCGGGTGTCATACGCTACTTGACATCCGTGATGGTCAAAGAAAGGGTTTCCGAGCAGCAGATCTTCTGAAAGCCCATCCACCACCAATGGTTCGACGATTACTTGGCGTCCCTTAATAGTCCATTCGAGGCGCACTCGCCCCTTAACGCGCAGGAGTCCCCCCGAGGCGCCCTCGAGCCAGCGATTCGACGTGTCCTCGATCCATGTGCCTAAGTGCGCCAGTCGTCCAGCCAAGATAGACTCTTCCGCCCCCGTGTCCAACCGTACGGCGCATGGGTGCCCTTCAATTTCCACCCCCCAAGTGGGTACTCGCTGGCCCCCTACGAGTCGGATACTCAGTTGGTTCTTGCGTTGTCGCTCCTCGGTCTCCGCCTGCATTCGTCGTCGTCGCTCTTCTTTCTCTCTTCGGTGCCATTCTCTCTTTCTTCGCTTGTTAGCGGTCTTCCTCCCTTCTGGTGGTTTCCCTTTCTGTCCACTGCAATACTCCGCATCCACACATGTCTTCCTCTTCGTCCTCCTCAAATTCTTTCAGCTCCCCCGTCTTCAGAGCGCCCCTCGCTACAGGCCGCCCCTCTATTCTTTTCCCGCCGCCCATCCGGTTGCTGCCTTCGCGGCCTTCTTCTTCTTCAACTCCTCCAGGCCTTTCTCAATCGCGCCGGGTACTTCGGGCAGCGTGCATTCGGTCGCGACGTGGCCCAGGGTACCACAGTTCCAACACGTCTGACGGTCCGTGCGGTACCGTTTTGCCGGTTTCTCGCCGTCCGGGCCTTCTTTAGTCCAGCGCCACTTGGTTGGAGACGCTATCATCCGGCACATGACTGTCATAGTCTCTGTCATTTTCTTGTCCATGGTCTCGATCATCTTCAAATCCTTGGCTGACAACGCTTCGTCTTCCTGGACGGCATTGTCACCTTTGCGTTGATTGGAAAAGCTCGAGTGGTCTTCGCGGTTGTGCCTCCCCCACTGGCACCGTACAGCAGCTCCAGCAATTGCACCCCCTCCAGCATTGTCTTGACCTTACCCATGTGTAGGTCTTTGGCTGCCGCTGGTTCCGCCCCTTTCGTAAAGCAGGCGACCAACCATGCCTCGGGAACAGTAATACCCTCTGCCATCGCGTATAGGACTTCCGCATATTCCTGCCACGTTTCATTCGCTCGTTTGGCCCTTGAGATCATGTCGGCCTTGATCGTGTCGCTTGTCCGCATCGGGTGCAATCCAAAAGCGCCCACCATCCGCTCCTTCAGCATGGTGTACGTGCGGTCGTCCTCTTTCACTCCTTTGAGTGCGTGCGAGTACCACTTAGCCGCTCTGCCTTTAAGGCGGTCGGCGATCAGCACGTGCTGGAGGTGTTCGGGCCAGGCTATTCCTTTCATGCGGCCATCGGCCGCGATGTACCGTTCCATGCTTTCGAGCCACTCCTCAACACACCCTCGCGTGTCCGGGTCGAAGTCACCCCCACCAACGTCTCGGTATTTGAGGATTTGAGGAATCGAAGTTTTGGGTCGTAGCCGCCATCTCCATGACCGCCTGGTGCTCCACTCTGTGAGGCTTGTTCTTGGCTGGGATCGATGCTCGCCATGTTGCTACTTCCTCCTGCGTGGGTTTTTGCTTTGTGACCCTTGGCTTCTTGACTCTTCACCTTCCGTTTCCTTTTCCAAATTTAGCTATTATTCCATATCCCACTGGGTTCGCCGCCTTGGCGCTGTTACTCCCCTCGAGTTCGCAACAGTTAGGGAGGCCCCAGTATGACCACCAAGTTAGGATGTGCTGCCCCGGCTGGGGCATGGAGGATTTTTAGGATAGGTGTGGAGTGTAGTGGGGATAATCGGAAGTGTCTATTCTCATCTTTACTCCTACTACTACTTCAACTGCTATTTCTACCGTCTATTCTCGCCATCTTTGTCCGACATCTTAACTCATCCGATGTCATACGCATATGTAGCCCAGATGACGTGGCAATACCTGGGGCGAGCATTCGCTTACTACACTACTACACGTCTCAGCTGCGTAAACGGACACCTCGCACGCTAATCTCGCTTGTCGTGTCCAAGCCGTTGTCATATGCATATATAGCCTAGATGACGTGGCACTATCTGGGGCGAGCATTTTCTCACTACACTACTAAACGTCTCAGCTACGTAAACGAACACCTACCACGCTAATCTCGCTCTATTCACACCAATCTTGGACCAGGGCCTAGCCAATTGTCATATGCATCTCGCACGCTAATCCACACCAATCTTTGACGATGGTTTTGCCCTACTGTGGTCGCTAGCAACATAATCTTTCACCACGGATCATAAGGAGGGTGTTCGGGTTTTACAGAATCACAAATATATGGTCGCTTTGGTTTTGCATAAAAAATGTCCTTCCTGCGGGATTTCAACTCACGCCAGACCACTTAGATGAATCACTGGGTGCCTAGACAGCTTGGGCACATTGTGCAGGGAGATGCAGGAAATGAACGAAAACTCGCGATTATCTCGCATGTCGACTAAGTCTGTCCTTCATGCAACATGCTAACGTTACTTCAAAATGTTGACTTCATACGTGAAAACACGAAGATGTTGGGATGCAAGTACAGCGGTGTGCACCGGTTTGCCAGATACTACGTAGTATCTCCGACACCTTGAATTTCGGTATTCTGTACCTGAGTCTCAATGTTTGTTGTATTATATCAACTTTTTATATAGAACTTTGTATTGAATTGTTTTGTATGGTTTTCAACGTTACATGTGAAAATGCATGATCTTTTAAAAATTGACATGTATACATGCTGCGCTTGCACATGTGTGCATGTGCGGAAAGTCCAAGCGCAGGTGGTCAAATTTTCGGGAGTGACGTATGGAGGTGAGCTGAAACTGTGAGATCATGTACTCCACATGTGTAGGAAGGTAGTGCATGCAATCATTCTTACCTATGTGGAGTACAGAGGACGAAAACGACGACGGTAGAGGACGAATTTGTAGTTTTTCGGGCACATGCATGCACATGGGCATGAGATGCCGCTATCTATTGTTAGCTGCCACGGTGCAGGTTGTGATGTGCACATATGCCGTGTAATAGTCTACAAGTTGGTATGCGTCCCATCCCTCGTCATCATTCCTAGCCTATGTATTCACCCACCAAAGTTCCGCATTTTGCTCATGCCCGCATGCGTCGAGTGTCGAATTTTTCTTGCACATGTGCACATGCGGGGATGAAATGTTTTCTTTCTGATATAGAACGGGTAGCGAACGGATAGTAAATTTATATAAATATATGGGTAAATGTATGATCAGGAGTTAAATTTCACATCCTATCCGACAGGTGGTGAGGCAAATACCCGGTTTAACCCTTCAAGTAGCGCAGAATCATCAGTTTGTCAAACGAGCGATTTGGGAAAGCGACGAAAGGAGTCAGCAATTCTGTGATCATCACGGCAATGTCCGTTTACATGTTCAAGGTAGTAGATCGCAATGTCAAATTTACGACCTGTTCCTGCATCTCCCAGTATCAATTTTGATGTCATTTTTTACACATTAAGTTAATTTATACATAATGAAGTTGAATCCAATCAGTTCTCTGTATCAAAAGCAAATTAGCCAATTAGGTGACACCGTGATTTTTGCTCTCATTGGCCATAATTCTCTCAGGAGGCAACGTTGCATAAACACATGATTGGAAAGGCACATGCCACATGTCATTACACCACTTGTTTTAGTCGGTTAATTGAGTTTGGATTATCATTTTTAAGACATTCCTCCGCGAGGGCCGACACTAGAACCACCCCCCCCACTTTTTTTAGTCGGATACATGTGAAAAATCCAGACTATGGGACTAGTGCAGAATCCACCTCTAAGAAAATCTATTAAACCATTCAGCGCATCACCTCTTCCCGGACTTCCATTCGCAACGGATCTTTGCAGCTTTCAAAACCTTGCCATCTCGACTCACTGAACTTGCGATCAATCACTTGCAAAAGCCAAGGACATCCGCTAAGCTGGAACCTGGTCTGCCTCTTTGTTTTGGGTGGAATGCTGTGACAATTCATCGCCGAAGGTGGTTGAATCAGACTTGTTCAGCACCAGTAAGACCTCTGATAACCAGACCCAAGGGACTCAGACTTCCAAGAAATCTGATCTTGAGGTCCCGATTCATACAGTAGTATCTTCGACCTTGCGGCAACCGTTCCGAGTTTAAGCACGCATATCTGTACAACGAAGCCGACTTGTAAAACAGTCTACCTCTTCAGCCCAACAAGAGGCACTTTTCAATTTGCAACGAGCGACCAACAACCATGAAACTGTTCGTTGCCATCGCTGCTGTCGTTGCCACCGTTTTCGCGCAAGATGTCAACTTCACTGACGTCTCGGAGAGCCAAGAACGGGGCGACGGCATCCGTGTCGTTGGCGGAAAGGAGGCCCCCGTTGGGCAATACACGTGGACCGTCAACCTCCGCAGGTCTGGCTGTCAGAAAGACACCGGACTAGGCCCTTGAGATGGCAGCCATCCAGCGAGATGACAGGTGTCACGCATCGCACCACGTCCTTGAAACACCCCAGCATGAAAAAGCATCGGGCGAACTCGTTGTTCTCGTTCGTCTCAAACACTCTATATGTTCCTATTCGTATTGATGTGTGTGGCGCATGGATGGCGCGGCGCATCCCTTTATTGTCAGACGACATCTCGCTGTAGTAGTGGTTTAGTACTACTAGCTAGGTAGCTAGTATTACTGGCCTAGTAGATTTGGGCTTACGTGATTGGGGCTTGGATTATTGGTTATCCTACCCCTCTGCACATTTGGCTGCTGGTAGCAGTCAGTTTGGAATTCACCACTAGCTAATCAAGTGCCTCTCTCCTCAACTGTGTTCTGCTGTCGTTGCTGCCCGGGAGACACAACACGTATGAAGTATTTACTTAGACTTTGTTCGAACTCAAGCTAACAAAATTACCTCCATTGTCGTCGCCAAGTTTGAGCAGATACGAGTGCAGTTTCTGTAGGTGGGGTGGTCTGGGCTTTCACGGTCGGGGACGGTGTGAACGAGACTGTCGTTTTGGGGGCTGTTGCGAATTTGCCATTCGCAGAACCCCTGAACCCCTCCGAAGTGTTCGATTAGGTTGGATATCCTGTGTGCGATCCTATTCGCTAGTTAGATTATTGGCTGTCCAGCAGCTGTCTGATTAGGTTAGGGTTAAGCCCCAGTGACTTTTGCCACTGGGGGGAATTCACTTTGTGATTTGCCTTTGGATCGGACTTCGCAAGGTCCGTCAAGTTGAGACGCAACAAAGAATTCTTTAGTAGCAGCCTGGTACTGTACTTGCCGTACGAGTATGGAACAAGGAAGTCTGCCGTTTACGAGCAACCTGGCTCGTGTGACGCGAACGCGGTCTATGGAGACCGTGGTGGCCGTGCCATTGCCTCCGCCGAACCAAGCGGAGATGGACGAGCTGCGGATGCAAAGCGTAGAACGAGCGGCGATGACGTCAAGTCAATTCAACCAAATGACGTACGAACAGCTGGCGCAGTTACATGCGCAGCAAGAAGCCATGGCGAAGCGGATGGAAGATGAGTCTTCCCGACAGTTTGCGATGGCAAAGGCGATGGAGAAGAATCGCCTGGAACAAGAAGAATCTCGAGCAAATTCTTTTACGTCAACCAGAACTGGTTCGTCAGAAAAACGAACTTAAGCGAGCGATGGCCGAACAAGCCAGGGTCTCGGAAGCGCATCAAGAAATGCTCCGCCAGGCGTCGGACGCGATGCGCCAGCAGAACTACAAGGTAGAAGAGCTGAACCAGAAGGTCCGTCGGGATAGCGAGCGATGGGGATTATTCGCTGAAGCGACCAATCAACGATCGCCATTTCCGTCCGAACAAGCGGCACCGACAAGCCGCATGGAGAACCTCATGGGTGTGCAACAGGTGCCGCTGGCGCCTATGTACAAGGGTAGCACGAAGCGCGAGC